CTCTCTCTCTCTCTCTCTCTCTCTCTCTCTCTCTATCTATCTATCTATCTATCTATATATATATATATATATATATATATATCTTGTCGAGTTCATTACATTCATTTATGTGCTAATACATTTGGGAAAGGTATATATGTATCCATCTTCCCCCCAGCCATGGGTTAATAGCAGGACAGACTGAGCTGTATAGCCTTGGTTTGCAGCTAGTCTAGAAGAAAGAAAACCCTGAATTCAAACCTCTTCCTGCCTTGTAGGTCCTGCCTTTTTAACTTGTAAAACGGACGGGGTAATCTCAGTATCCCCAGTACAAAAGGAACCGGAAAGCCATTGTACTATTCTGCCTTGCATTTCACAATTGTGAGATGGCGTGGAATGATGACGACAGCCGTGCAAAACGCGCTAAATAAATGACGATGATATACAGGGTGATTTCAAATATCTCCCTATTTTATGTATGATGGACTCTCACGTCTTGCAAAAATTATGGTTAAATGGGGGAGTCCATCATACAGAAAATAGGAAGTTAATTGAAATCACCCTGCAAATATAAATTTGTTTATATTGTAGCATACCTACGGACGATAATGGGTATGTTCCCATTCACATAAATACAGTAGTAAATACTGTATGTTAGTCTCCAGTTGTAGATTCGTCTCCAGCTGTGCTGGTCAAACTCTCTACCTCCGGGCAGGGGGGGGGGTCCCCAGACGAGGCTATGTCGAAGGGCAGAGTCTCGTCTCGGGTAACAGCTATCCGATCCCGTTTTATACGGGGAAATTTTAGCTGAGCCTACGGGCTCGGATAACCCACTTTAAATTCGGCCTTGTGCCACATCTGACCCACGTCAGATGGTTGGTAGATATCCTGCAGTTGGAAATTCATTGTGGAATTCCCTTGACTCACTTCTAGCAGTTGACTACTACTTCTATGCGCTACCAGCAAATCTTATATGTGTTGTTCTTGTCCTAAGTATTATCATTCCTTACCAACCTTCGTGTGATTATTCTATTCAGTAACCTTCCCTGGTTACAGCAGTTTAATATTTTTGTATTTCCAATGTTTGGATAGGTTGTTGAGTATTGAAGTTGTGGATAAACTGTCCGAAGTCCATATTTTATTATTGTTTTGTTCAAGAAATTTCGGCTATTGTAGCCATTTTCAAGAACCAATGCCGTGTCTGTAAAGTAGTTATAATTCCTTTGTCTACATCCTGGTATTCTTTGGAAAGCTGAAAATTTGAAATAGTCTGACGTACGGTTATTGGGAACGAGGACGCACAAAAAAGAATGAGATATATTTGTATTTTCTTGTATTAATATATATATATATATATATATATATATATATATATATATATATATATATATATATATATGCGGTGATTGATATTTTATTTAATGTGGAGTATTTATAATGTATAATAGTATTATTATACAAATAACAAAATACAATAACAAAATATGAACTTACTGACAGTTTTTCCACAACTTCAAGCACAATACATAAAACCTTATGGAAAATTGGAAAAGTACAATAAAAAAATGAAACAAACAGATCTTGCCGGTTCTTTCTAATCAGTCTTGTATATATATATATATATATATATATATATATATATATATATTTCAGACTGTTCATATCTAGATAGAGAAATATGACCAGTGATAGATAGATAGATAGATAGATAGATAGATAGATAGATAGATAGATAGATAGATATAATCAGAGACACATAGATAGATTGATAGATAGGTGATGAGTAGAGAAAGGCATTTCCTAAATATTCAGACTAGCTTGATTTAAATATATATATATATATATATATATATATATATATATATATATAAAGAAATAATCACACATAGAATCAATCAGAAGTATTAATGCGATTATTGGCGACATCCATCGCTAGAAACATAATATATGCATTAAAATACTGTTAATCCATAGTGCGAAGTGATCCTCGTCGATAAACTTGATGTCTGTAGTTTTCAGTTTATTTGATGTTAAAATGCTAATACTTACGAATAGTCTTCTATTCATCATCAGGCATGTGTTTTTTTCCTTATAAAATCAAAAACTTGAGACGATATACCTGTATGTCGACCGAAAGATGTTTTTTGAATATCTGCTATTATTGACGGTTGTAAGATATCGGAACGTGCAAAGACGCAACGCTAAGTTTTTCAAAATTTTAAGTGAGAATTTTATTTAAATATTTCTTGTGATGTGTTAAATCCACGTATTCTATTTTTACAAGTGTATTCAGTTTTTATGTCATGAACTAAGTATATAGTTCAATAATATAGTGTAATGTCTTAGTAGTAGTTTTTTTATAGGAATTTTTATGTACTGCGGATCGATAGTTTTTATAAACATAAAACATTAGGCAGCATATAATTTACATACAAAGAAATAATCACACATAGAATCAGTCTGTATTTATGGCTGACACCAGCCAATCATATTACTGTGAGAGGGAACTCAGGTGTATGCATATTCATTACATTAATAATAATGATAATATTAATAATGTTTGGTAATATCCCCTAGTGTTGATCTGAACATCTCTGTGATGAAGGCTGCTTTTATATTGTAAAGATGAAGCAGCCAAGGCAAATTTAGGGTCATATCTGAAAAAACCTTCAGTCGCAGAGCTTCTGAACGGACAGGATTTCTGGACCTCCAGGTGATTCTGCCTTGGGTACGTGTTTATTATATCAAAATCTCTCACCATATTGAGTGTATTTGTCTGTGATGCATGCGCCTGGTACAGAATGTGCGGGTAAGCTACTTGGTCTCGGCGCGGAACGAGAGCAGTCGAGCCGAGTTCAAATTCCAAGCTAATCTGTGGTGTTCAGTTCAAAAGAGATATACCTGTTTTGCTCGCGACCCCACCAGCTTTGGGTTAAACAGCAGGGCCCTCTAATAGTACAAACAGACAGAATGCATGGTCATCAGAAAAAAGAAGAGGCCAAAATGCAAATTACAGGTCGGGGATGCTAAAATCAAACAAGTACAGAAATTGAAACATCTAGGAATTTTTCTAACATAGGACGGAATGAGGGACACTGAGGTCCGAGGACGTATTGGTATGACCAAAGATGCATTCCAAAAGCTAAGCAGAGTATTAAGAGACAGAAAAATTTCGTAGGAAACAAAGAAAAGAGTATTGAACTGTTGCGTGGTATCTGTTCTCCTCTATGACATCGAATACTGGACAATCTCTTCAAAGATGAAGAAGAGATATGAAGCAGCAGAAATGTGGCTCTGCAAAAAGATGCTGAGTATACCATGGGCCGAACATGTGAGCAACGACGAGGTTTTGTAGAGAATAGAAACAAAGAGGACTTATACTTAACAGCAGGAAGAGGCAGATGAAATTTCTAGGACACTTAATGAGGAAGGTGGGCTTGGAAAATCTGATACTCACAGGACAGATTGAGGGACAGAGGAAAGCAACGCGTAACATACTTGATGAGCTTGAGTAAATGGATTGGCGGATCAGGGTTTAGGAGAAATAACAAAGAGACAAAGCTTATTAAGAGCTACAAGGGACAGGAAGATGTGGAGAGCCATACGCCTGAAGGGAGACGACACATAAAAGAAGATATGAAAAAAAAAATGACTATACTTTTTACTGCATGTATGAATCAAAAAAATGAACTAATGCATAAAAAAATTAGTTACATATTTTACTATATGAATGAACTAAAAAAATTAACAATTTACTTTTTTTAACCATTTGTTGTTGCAGGATGCTGTAGTTATCAAACTTTCAACGCAAGGTAATTGTTCTCTTTAAGAAAGAACATCCAACTTGGGGACTGAAAAAATGCCAAGAAATTTGGCCAGAGTTCTTTTGTTTGAACGCCATATCTAACATTTGTGTTTTTGTTCTGTTTTAAGCGACTAAATTTCTATCCTTTGATTTTGTTTCAAATAACTGTAAGAAAAATTCTAACAATTAAATAAACTGTATCAAATTTCCTAGTTTTTGGGGGTCCCTGTGTATATATATATATATATATATATATATATATATATATATATATATATATATATATATATTTGTGTATATTTAGACAGCAATGTTTCATTAATGCATGTTTCATTAAATAATATAGACAAATTTTTGTCTATTTATTTTAAGTAAGATCCTTTCTTAAATGCCTCTAATTGGTAACAGAAGCCATTGGTTTATACCAACGGCTTCCTATACTTAATACTTCGCGTTTTTACTATCACGTGGTCATGTGTGACGTCACGAGCTGTGATGCGATTTTCGCTTCCGCGTCTCGTATACACGAGTATGTCGTTGCTTTGACATTTTTCATGCAACAAAAACCGACTATCATTATTATTTCGTCCGTGTGTTGTTTGATATATTGAAATGTAATTGTCATCTTTGATAATGAGTTATGTAAGCCGAAAGCTTAGATTAGATTTAAACATGTATCAATATGGTGATTTCCTTTCGTCTTTCAATGATAATGTTATTAAGCTTATCAGAAAATATAAAAGGAACTTACTTAAAATAAATCGACAAAACTTGTCTATATTATTTAATGAAACATGCATTAATGAATATATATATATATATGTGTGTGTGTGTGTGTGTGTGTGTGTGTTTATAAGTTATTTATATACACACAATTTATTTAAGTAAATGCTTCGTTTTTAATTAAACTGTATTAATTACATTTACCGGCCTGAATGTTCGAGAAATTTCGTAGAAAATATACCTTCTCCGACAGGAATCGAACTCCGTTATTATGTAAGCCGAAAGCTTACATAATAAATAATATGTTAAGTTACGTTTCCTGAGCAGAAATGAACGATCAAGAATTTTGTGTTTATAAACATTAAATCTTTTAGATTGAACAACACATCTAACATTTCTGTTTTTGTTAACTGTAAACAGGAAATTTTTGCAGTTTATTTCTTTGTTGGAATTTCGTGAGGGGGGGGTATGAGGCACCCTGTAACTCCTACCAATGAATGAATTTTCTCTCTCTCTCTCTCTCTCTCTCTCTCTCTCTCTCTCTCAAAAGTTTCTAGCGTTCATATGCATGCCCTCGGTGTTTATGTTCGTCAAAATCGCCCAATGACAAGGAACTTTTCTGTGGAGTCTCCGGAGTGTACTTGTATGTCCTTCCATATTTCACTATTAAACTCTGTTAATTATCTCTTCTTCCTTCATCATTTCCCTTCTTCTCGGGACTGTTGTTTGTTAGAATATCCGACAGTAGAGAACTCTCTCTCTCTCTCTCTCTCTCTCTCTCTCTCTCTCTCTCCTCTCTCTCTCTCTCTCTCTCTCCCTCTCTCTCTCTCTATCTCTTTATCTCTATCTATCTCTTTATCTCTCTCTTTCTCTTTCTCTATCTATCTATCTATCTATCTCTATCTCTCTATCTCTCTATATCTATCTATCTATCTCTTTATCTCTCTCTATATCTCTCTATCCATCTATCTCTTTATCTCTATCTCTCTCTATCTATCTCTTTATCTCTATCTCTCTCTTTCTATTTATCTATCTATCTATCTATCTATCTATCTATCTATCTATCTCATCCTCCCCCGCATTCTTCTGCAAATATCTTTGTTTTTGGTCGATTTAAATGTTCACCATGTCAAGTGGTTTCATCTATCTAATGCTACTCATTTTGCCGGAATCTGGGCTGTGACTTTTTCAACTGCTCGGTCTCTCATTCAAATAGTATATTTCCGGACTCGTTTCCAAAGTCATTCTCTCTCTTGCCTCGCCGTCAGATTCTTGTCAGGCTTTGCAACTCCGTCCTCTTGGCAATTCGGACCACGCGGCAGCGTCTGTAGACGTCTCACACGCGGCGTCTGTAGACATTTCACAGGCAGCGGTGTCTGTAGCCGTTTTACGCGCGACAGTATCTATAGACGTGTTACACGCGGTAATGTCTGTAGACGTTTCACACGCGGCAGTGCCTGTAAATGTTTTACATGAGGCAGTGTTTGTAGACGTTTTACACGCGGCGGTGTCTGTAGACGTTTCACAGGCGGCGGTGTTTGGAGACATTTTACACGCGGCAATATCTGTAGACGTGTTACACGCGGCAACGTCTGTAGACGTTTCAAATGCGGCAATGTCTGTAGACTTTTCATACACGGCATTGTCTGTAGACGTTTTACACGCTGCGGTGTCTGTAGACATTTCATACGCAGCAGTATCTGTAGACGTTTTACATACGGCTTTGTCTGTAGACGTTTCACAGGCGACGGTGTCTGTAGACATTTCACACGCGGCAGTGTCGGTAGACGTTTTACACGCGGCAATGTCTGTAGATGTTTTACATGAGACACGTGAAACTGCAAACTTCTTCTTGATTCACTCCTGCCTTTTCAGTCGCTACAGCCCAGAGGCTCCCGAACCTTGAGCAGGGTAAACATCATTGTACAAAAAATATTATAGGCGTGTAAACCCATGCGTGTTCAGTAAATAAAGACAGAATTACCAGCGAAGTCAGTTAACTAATTATCACAATTATCAGTTAACTAATTATCACAATTATCAGTTAACTAATTATCACAATTATCAGTTAACTAATTATTAGACAAGAGCTAAAAGACAATACACTCAGACAAATATTTAAAAAATTTTAAAGTGATTCTTGGTGGCTGTGACAACGATTTTGTTTTGTTTTTTTTTAATCATTTCACCCCAAGCAAGGCGAAAATGCAACTGGTACGTGGGGTGGGGGTTACAGAGACTGAATGTGAGGGAAAAGTCTGGGTATAGGGGGATCAAGGAAAGGATAAAAGCTGAACGGGGTACAATAAGGTAGATGATGGCGATTTACGTTACATTTAAATTTTTGAAGATTGTAGTTACCATGGGAGCAAGGTAAGGGGAGGGAGTTCCACAGGCAGGAAGTGCGAGAAAAGAAACTGGTGGGGTAGAACTGACGGTTACATTCACCGAATTCAGCAGTAAAATGGTGCAAACTAGATGCCAATCTAGTAGCACGTTTAACTGACGTAGTCTGGCCACCAGGGAAAAAAAGCTGCTTGGAGCAGTAACCAAGAAAATACTTGTAGAAAATACAGAGGGAAGCCACGTCACGGCGTGAGAAAGTGACTGAAGTCGAGATGCCAAGTCAGAATCAGTTGCATTTCAGAAACTTCTTTGGATTTTGTCCAGAACCTCGAGATGAGTAGCAGGAGCACCAGACCATAATTAGATTTGTAAATGTGCAAGATGGAATCTAACAAGAAATAACTTCTGGCACGACACAGTGATTCAACTTTCCTTGCATTAAGTGCTTCAAAGCCTGTTATAGATTAGAAGAGACATGGACAAAATGAAACGAATAAATATGAAGAAACTTACGGAGGAATAGACAGGTATGACGAGACGTACATAGATAGATAGATAGATAGATAGATAGATAGATAGATAGATAGATAGATATGAATATACTGAAAAAGATAGATAGTGTGTGTGTGTGTGTGTGTGTGTGTGTGTGTGTGTGTGTGTGTGTGTGTGTGTGTGTGTGTGTGTGTGTGTGATAGAGAAAGAGAGATGTAAATATGTACATTTAGATGGTGTGGTATATAAAAATGAAATAAACTAATAAATATTTAGCAGACAGGTAGAAATATAAAGCTGTACATAGAAAGATATGAACAGACTTAGATAGATAGATAGATAGATAGATAGATAGATAGATAGATAGATAAAGAGAGAGAGAGAGAAATCTGGTTTTGCATCAGTCGAAACATGTGTAAGTATATAGCATATATAATTGTAGATATATGTCTTCTTTTTCCGAAAAAAATAAAGAAGTTTTTTCAAAAAAGTAACAAATGTCGAAGATTTTACATTGAAACTGTCTTGTCGACATTGTTTGCTTGTATCCAAACCCTGGGGTGTCTAGTATGAATCTAAGAAAGAAAGAAAGAAAGAAAGAAAGAAAGAAAGAAAGAAAGAAAAAAGAAGAAAGAAAGAAAGAAAAAAGAAAAAAGAAAGAAAGAAAGAAGAAGAAAGAAAGAAAGAAAGAAAGAAAGAAAGAAAAAAGAAAGAAAGAAAGAAAGAAGAAGAAAGAAAAAAGAAAGAAAGAAAGAAAGAAAGAAAGAAAGAAAGAAAGAAAGAAAGAAAGAAAGAAAGACACTGTTACGTCAAAACTCTAACAAAAATTGCGTTGAAGGAAAAGTAGAATTTAACATAGAATGAAAAATGGAAGAAAAATGAAAAGAAAGAACACCAAGAAGGAAATCGGAACGGTAAAGCAAATATTTTCAGAAAAGAAAAATAATCTTTAAAAAGAAAGAACTAGAGAAAGAAAGTATAAAAGAAGGAAATTAAAGAGCGGTGAAATAAAGATGATCAACAGTATATAATTTTTTTTAAAGATATATTTAACTAGAGTGAAAGAAGTGAAGCCGAAAACTGAACCGCGAAAGAAAGAGAATTAAGTCACAACTATGGCAGAGTTGCAGTGTTAGAAAGAAAAGGGTGGGTAGTACCAGCTGATAGAAGAGCCTGATTTATAATGAGACCAATCATTGAGTGCATAATCGAATCTGGGGAATGACGTCACCGTAGCATCAGGCATGCACAATGCACTGAAGGTGACTCATACGGACAGTCCTCCTTATCCCTTCACGTGCATCTTTTCTCCCAACAGCTGGCTTCTTGGCCTTTGTCTCTACAACACTTCTATCTCTCTTAGTCTGTTCATATCTATCTATTGATCTATCTGTCCATCTAGCTTGGCCTATCCAAGTATCTGTACTCAGACACGCACACATACATACTATATATATATATATATATATATATATATATATCAGTATTATAAACTTTTTTTAAAAATGCAACCTATTTATCAGGCCAAATTCCTATTTAAATCAATTCCTATCTAGCAGTCTATTCACATCTATCTATCTATCTATCTATCTATCTATCTATCTATCTATCTATGCCCTCCTATTTAAACCAATTCCTATCTTTCAAAGTCTGTTCACATCTATCTATCTCATTCTGTTCATATCTATCTATCTATACCTTCCTATTTAAATCAATATTTATCAAAGTCCGTTCACATCTATCTATCTATCTATCTATCTATCTATCTATCTATCTCTGCTCATATCTATCTCTCTTCATATCTATATAATTCTGTTCCCATCTGTCTAGCTACCTCTGTCTATTTCAGCCTGTTCATATCGATATAAGTGTCTACCTCTGCTTATATATATATATATATATATATATATATATATATATATATATATATATATCTCTATCTATCTAAATGTGTTCATATCTATTTCTCGATCTATCAGTCTTTTTCATATCTATTTAACTATCTATCTATCTATGTTTGTTTATATCTATCTATCTATCTACATATTTATATTTATACCTGTTCGCTTAAATATTTATTACTTCACTTCTCTTTATATATTACTCCCTGTTTATATCTAAATGGGCGTATTTACATTTATCTATCTACCTATCTATCTATCTATTTTTATATAGCATACTCTAAAGAAGTAATGAATGTTTTTATATTTATTCGTCAGACAGATTTTATCAATTTAAACGTTTTTTTTTTTTTTATGGATACCCATAGACGCCGCATTTATTTATTAAGTAGTATATTTAGCACGTCGAATCTAACGACGGTCCCCTCTGCCCAGAGGGACGCAGGTTCGAATCCTGCCAGGAGCGCATATTTTTCTTTAATAAGATTTCACAAATATTCAGGACGGCAGACGAAAATAAATAAATACATTGTTTAATAAATAAACGAAGCGTCTATTCAAATATGAGTATCCAATAAAAAATAATGTTTAAACTGATAAAATATGGTCCTTATCTATCTTATTTATATATGTCAGTCAGATTTGATCTATCTTGATAAGTCTCTATCTGCATCTTCTGTGCCATGGCCCTTCATGACATTATCGATCATGGCTCTCCACAATTTCCTATTCTTTTTACCTCATAATAAATGTTGTCTTTGTGTTATCTCTCCTCGACCTTGCTGCGCCATACATTTATTCAAGCTCGCTTGGTTATACATTGTTTTCACCGTCTCTCTTGTCTTCACTATGTCCTCTGAGTATCAAATTTTCCAAGCCCTCTTTCCTTATTATGTGTCCTAGAAATCTCAAGTATCTCTTCCTGATGTTAAATATAAGTGTTCATCTTGATTCCATTTTCTCTAAAACATCGTCTTTGCTCCCATATGCGGTCTATTTTATTCTCAGCATCCTTCTGTAGAACCACATTCATGCTGCTTCAAGACATTCATCTGTGAGGAGATTTTCCAGTATTCACTTCCATATAGGAGGATTGATATTATATAACAGTTTAGTCCCCTTTTCTTTATTTTTAATGAAATTTTATTGTTTCTTAATGCTTTGCTTAGCTTTTGAAAGGCATCTTTCGATATCCCAATGCACCTTCGGATTTCAGTGAAATGCTTTCCGCCCTGTAATTCGCGTGATGGGATGTTCCTTTTGCTAATAACCTTGTCTTCCGTCTTCGTGAAATATAGTCCTTTCTTCTTGCTTTCCTTCACTACCTTCTGTAGGAGTTCTTGCAGTTTTGCAATTCTCTCTTCTGTTTAAACAGTTTCCGGCTATTTAAATTGTTGTACTTTTTTTTATTTCTGTATCTCCAATTTGTAATTTGCATGTTGGGCTGTTCCTTTAGCTACAGCCGTTTATTCTGTTTTCTTGCAATTGATGTTTAGTCCTTTCTTCTCCCTTTCCTTCACTACCTACCGTGGCAATTATTGCAGTTTCTTCCCTGTGTCTGACATCAACACAGTTTCACCTGCATATCTAATGTTGTTAAGATTGTGGCCGCCAGTAATGAATCCTGGTAGGACTTATCCACACTGTATAGATTAAAAAGTCCGGTGAAAAGACACACCCTTGTTTTACAACGCTTTCTTTTTTTAATCATTTCTGATGAGTCAGAAGCCATTGTTAAAGTTCAATATAATACGATCAGAACGAATAAAGTTTGCAATGAAAAGAAAAAAGGTAAAAGAAGATGAAACAGCAACAATCATGCAAGCAAGTAAAAAATAAAGATAAAACGAATTAAAACTGATAAGAAAGTAAAAGAATTCACAAACTATGAGTTGGTGTTTGTACACAAAAAGTCGACCAAGCAAAGGCAGAATGTCTAGTACACTAATCACATTGCTCATACTATCATCCTCATGTTTTTTGCCATATTTATCACAACGTTTTGGCCGTTGTACGCTCCGGCCTTCTTTAGGTGGTTTGGAATGTCGAACGGAACTCTTTATTTCGATCGCTGGGGTAGACTGTTTTAGTTTCAAAATTAATTATATTTGATATATATCTGATGCAATACTTGATTGAATGAGTCAATGATCAGATTTCAACATTG